TTCGTTGAGACTGTTTTTCCTTATGAGGAGTCTCCTCCGGTCTCTTCACCCACTTCGGTCCCTCCTGTTGTGACTTGGCCTCCTACGTCCACTTCGGATGATGATCACTCGATTGTAGTCCCGCATGCGCCTGTGACTGCTCCGCCATCCCCTGATGATCAATCACTTGTAGTCCCTTCTGGCCCTTCCGATGACAGGGGGGGTCCTTCGGTCCCTACTGCGCCAGACAGTGCGTTGGGTCGTGGACATCGCACCCGTTTTCCCTCGAGTCGCCTCCGTGATTTTGTTACTGCCACTATCTGTCCCCCTGGTCCCTCTGTTGCTCTGCCTGCTTCCTCACCTTCTTCAGGTACGCCTTATCCTATCGCACATTATGTAAGTTGTGATACTTTCTCATCGGTCCACAAGTCTTTTTTGGCAGCTCTAGCTTCTAATGTCGAGCCTCGTACGTTTGCTGAGGCCGCCACTGATAGTCGATGGCGCGTAGCTATGCAGAATGAAATCCAGGCTCTAGAGAATAATGGGACTTGGGAGGTGGTTTCTCTTCCTCCCGGGAAGCGTGCCATCGGTTGTAAGTGGATTTACAAGATCAAGTATCGTTCGGATGGAGCTGTTGAGCGCTATAAAGCGCGACTGGTGGTTCTTGGTAACAATCAAGTGGAAGGAATTGATTATCATGAGACTTTTGCCCCTATTGCTAAAATGGTGACAGTACGGACTTTCTTAGTTGTTGCTTCCGCTCGTCAGTGGGAGGTCCATCAAATGGATGTCCACAATGTCTTTCTTCATGGTGACTTGGATGAGGAGGTATACATGATGCTTCCTCCTGGTTTTCGGACTAGTGATGCTGGGCGAGTTTGTCGTTTGCGTCGCTCTCTCTATGGATTGAAGCAGGCTCCTCGGTGTTGGTTTGCGAAGCTGGCTACTTCTCTCTGTCAGTATGGTTTTTCTCAGTCCCACTCTGACTACTCTTTATTTACCTTGCGTCGTGGGTCTGTTCACCTGCAGGTCTTGGTGTATGTTGATGACCTTATCGTTTCTGGCAATGATCCTGTGTCCATTGGAGCTTTTAAGAGTTACTTGAGTCGTTGCTTCCACATGAAGGATTTGGGTTACTTAAAATATTTTT